ATCGGGCCACCTGCTAAGAGCAGGAGTAGTAGCAGCAGCTCGGGCAGGCAGGCAGGCAAGCAGGCAGGCAGGCAGGCCGGCAGGCAGGCAGGCCGGCAGGCAGGCAGGCCGGCAGGCAGGCAGGCAGGCAGGCAGGCCGGCAGGCAGGCAGGCAGGCATGCAGGCAGGCAGGCAGGCAGGCAGGCCGGTAGGCAGGCAGGCAGGCAGGCAGGCAAGCAGGCAGGCAGGCAGGCAGGCCGGCAGGCAGGCAGGCAGGCAGGCCGGCAGGCAGGCAGGCCGGCAGGCAGGCAGGCAGGCCGGCAGGCAGGTGCTCACCAAAGGCTGGAAGGTCAGGCGCTCGTCGGGCGACGGCCGGGCAGGCTCACGAGGGCGGCGACGGCGGGGCCGCAACAGCGGCTGCAGAGTAGGGCCGCGGCAGCTGCAGGGCGGGGCCGCTTCAGCGGCAGTCGCAGGGTGGGGCCGCGTCAGCGGCAGGTCGGGGCCGCGGCAGCGGCAGGGCGAGGCCGAGGGAGCGGCAGGGCCGGGCCGCGGCAGCAGCAGGTCAGGGCCGCTTCCGCGGCCAGGCGGGTCTGTGTGAGCTGGGCGCGGGGCAGCAGCTGGCTGCGCGCGGGCAGCACGGGCTCGGGGCGGGCTGCGGGAGGCAGCGCGCGGGGCTGCTGCGGGCCGCGCAAGGCAGCAGAGGGCTGCGCGCGGCTCGGGGCGGACTGCGCGGGCCCGGCGCAGGCTACGCGCGGCAGCAGCGGGCTGCGCGCGGCTCGGCGCGGGCTGCGCGGGCTCGGCGCGGGTTGCACGCGGCTCGGTGTGGGCTGCGCGCGGCAGCAGCGGGCTGCGCGCGGCTCGGGACGGGCTGTGCGGGCTAGGCGCGGGCTGCGCGCGGCTCGGCGCGGGCTGCGCGGGCTCGGCGCGGGCTGCGCGCGGCAGCAGCGGGCTGCGCGCGGCTCGGAGCGGGTTGCGCGGGCTCGGTGCGGGCTGCGCAGGGCGACGCGCGTGCAGGAAGGTGCGCGCGGGCTAACAGCAAACAGTATGCAGCAGGCAGTCACAGGCTCATTCGTGGGGTAGCGGTAGGTGGGCCCGAAAAAAAACGGTCCTACGGACCTACTGCTCTGAAACCATGTTAGAGAGTAGAGACAGGAATGGCTTGAATTGAAACAGAGTTGGGTACATATCCTAACCCTAACATTGGGTTGTACCCTTTATGGGCTACCCCACTACAGCCTACACAAGTATATAACATATACAGTTTGACAGCCACTACGGCCGCCGCCACCACTCCCACTGCTGCCACGAAGAGAAGTCATAGCGAGCAAAGTAAGGAGGCGTGCGACCAAAGAAGGGCGGGTCGGCACACGGTCAGGGAAGTGCAGTGCGCGGCCAAAGTAGGGCGGCGTGCGGGCTGGGGAGGGCGTGCGGGCAGGCAAGGGGCGGCGCGCGCGCTGTAGAGGGCGGCGCGCGGGCTGTAAGGGCGGCGCGCAGGCTGCCAGGGGCAGTGCGCGGGCTGCAAGGGCGGCGCGCGGGCAGGAAGGGGCAGCGGGCTGCAAAGGGCGTGCGCGGGCGGCGCACGGGCAGGGCAGGGCGCGCGCAGGCGACGCGACGGATAGGGCAAGGCGTACGCGCGCTGCTCGACGCGGGGAAGGGCGTGCGCGCGCGGTGCGCGGGCAGGGCTGGGCACGCGGGCAGGGCAGAGGAAGCGCGAGGACTGCAGGGGCAGCGCGCGGGGTTGCAGATGGCAGTGCGCGGGCTGCAGGGGCGGCGCGCGGGTCTGCAGAGGCAGCGTGCGGGCTGCAGTGGCGGCGCGCGGGGCTGCAGAGGCAGCGCGCGGGGTGCAGGGGCGGCGCGCGGGGCTGCAGAGGCAGCGCGCGGGCTGTAGGGGCGGCGCGCGCGTCTGCAGAGGCAGCGGGCGGGCTGCGGGGGCGGCGCGCGGGGCTGCGGGGGCTGCGCGCGGGGGTGCAATGGCATCGCGCGGGTTGCAAGGGCGGCGCGCGGGGCTGGAGACAGGAGGCGCGCGGGCTGCATGGGGCGGCGCGCGCGGGCAGCACAGGTCAGGGCAGGGCGTGGGGTAGCCTGTCCTCACCGAGTACCTACGCAACCGCAATTTCCGGGATGTACACGCACTTTCGTTAATAGGGCCTCCTTAGGGGTGGAGGGGGGAGGGAGAGTGTAAGGAAAATTCCTTTTCCTTACTTCGCGCCCCTGCTTACCGCGTACATTACAGTTCCCGCCAACAGTTCCTAACAGTACACCGTTACCACTCGCGACACTCGCCTCGATACTGTTCCCGCCACTGTTCACGACGCGATCCAACCGCACGACTCGGTTGGTCACCCGCGCTACGGAACTCTGCCTCAACATTTCCCAACCTCGGCGCAAGGCTCGTAGCGCACCCCAAATTCATGCATTACCGTTACCATGCTAGTTTCGCTATATATTCTTCGCTCATGCCTTCGCCCAATGTGCTGTTTTGCTTCGATAGTGCAATTCTCGCTCGCTCGGTCAATTGCACTCATAACAATATCAAATATGTGATCTACCGTATGTTTAGTTGTGAGGTGCGGTGTTGCTGGTCCCAGCTTCTGGCAAGACACTTAACAAACCACGTGAAGTTCTGGCTAAGAGCGCCAAACTCCGGACCGCGCAGATGAGCGCTGCGCGGGAACTGACGGCTTACATTGGTTCCAACCATTGGTTTCGTCGGGCCGCTCACCAAGCGAAGTGAAGCGTCAGCCGTCGATGATCTTCAGATGTACGAAACCAACAAGACGACCCCGAAACAACCAAGCCGCACCCACTGCTACCGGTCTTGAAAGTGCATGGAAGAGGGTACAGCTGGATGGCGCATAGGCATGGGGGTTTGCTGGATACCCAACGCGTGTACTTCGGGCCCCCAACAACTCCCGTCAAGGTGGCATAAATGTTTGTCAGAAACAGCGTCATGTCACACTGTCACGGGCGGCGTCGTAGGTATCATAAGCGCCTTGGGAATTGGTTTGGGAACGGCCATTTTCAGGTGCATGCAGCTTAGTCGAGACGCGTTATTCAGGTGCATGCCAGGTTGCTTACACTTTTCTCAGGTTAAAAAATGTCTCTCGTAAATTAACACGCAGTTCAAGATTCGATTAAAATTGGCACAAAAGGTCTGTAATAGAAGCAATTTCGGGCTACGCAAATTGGAATCGGAATGGTTGGCTCTCGATGCTGCATTTTCTGACGTAACTCAGTGTAATGATTGCATTTTGTCCAATTTATACGCAAATTTCTGCTTTGCACCAACTCATTTCGAACGAATCTAATGCTAGATCTGTTGTACTTTTGACGCAGATGACGGACGCTGCGCATGGCAAATCAGCAAACCCTTCGTGAGTGTTTGTATATTTTGCCTCTACCAAACTAAGTTTGCCGTACGTGCATATTGAAATAGGTGGTATTCAACGGCCTTAATTACGTGGCATTAAATATACATGTAACATACGATATATCCTTAATAGCGGTAGGGGTAACTCACTCTTAACACTCGGGCATATTTATCGTGTTTCGGACTACCCTTTTCAAGCAATGCACGTCCCACTAGAGTTTGCTGATTTGACCCGCGAAGCGTCCGCCACCTGCGCCAACAGTACAAACGATTTAGCATTACAATCCGTTCAAAAAGATTTGGTGCGAAGCAAAAAATTGCGTAGAAACTGGGCAGAAATGCAATCATTGCACTGAGTTACGTCAGAAAATGCAGCATCGAAAGCCAATCATCCCGATTCCGATTTGCGTATTCCGAAATTCCATCTATTTCAGACCTTTTGTGTCAATTTTTATCGAATCTTGAACTGCGTATTCATTTACGGGAGAAATTGTTTAACCTGAGAAAAGTGTACGCAACCTGGCATGCACCTGAATAACGCGCCTCGACTAAGCTGCATGCACCTGAAAATGGCCGGTTTGGGAACACCACAGGGTGCGAATTCAACTGGTCCGCATACAACACCCCCTGTTTCGGCTTTCGCAAATCCGAGCCGAAGGGGTCACCTCGTAGAACTACGAACCATTCTTTTCGGCCAATATCATACATACTTAAAGTATTCCTGAGCGGGTTCTCAGGTGTAATCACCCACAGAAACACAGTTTTGCGATATAATAGTAGGTGTTTCTTGGTAGTTTCTGTATACAGTCACTACAAAGAAATACAGCACTTGAAAACAAAAAAACTTGTAGCGAGCCTAGATGAATTTCGGGACACATCAACCCTAAATACGGGAAGCCGCCCAACATATTGGAAAAATATATTGCAACCCACCTAACCCAAAAATAAAACCCAATCAGAGAGGGATGCGACTCGGAGGCAACAACCCTAAAAACAATGCCCTTTTCCGTGTTCGGATTTATTTCTCCAGGAGAAACGTCCAGGTTCCCTAAGGGTTTTTTTTCTCTTCCCTAAAAAAAAAATCCGTACTTTAATCTAACATATCCAGTTCGGAAGGGTAAACTAGATTTTTCTGTTTTTGTCACTCCCTACAGAGTACGACCAGCGTGAGAGATGTGACTAAAACGTAACGACCAATCTAAGTTGAGAAAGTCCAGGTTGATTACACCTGAGAACCCGCTCGGGACTAATCTGAGTAATTATGATGTTGGCCGCATTCTTTTCACCAGACGCTTTGGTCCGGGATGGGGTTCGGTTTTGAAAGTTCCCCTAATTTCCCTAAGCACACGCTGCAACCATCTCCCCGACTCATGCGGCATTGAGCTTCCCGCGCGTATCCTGGGTTGTTTCTGCGAGTTCTGGGCCAACATTCAAGCCAACGGCTCTGAAACTTGGTAGCACAAATTCAGTGTGCATGCTCGAGATTCGGAAACAGACCTCTTGTTTTGAAACTCGTCTCACAAAGGACTGGCCTCTTTCAAGTCTGCGCAGAGGTCATCACCTTTATTTTCGTACACCTGTGGGACAGGAGTTGTCTGTGAGAATTACGTTTAGTTGCTCGACAGTTGCTGAGTTTCCACATAGCTTCACAATGGGTCTCAAACGGCATGCGTACGAGACGCAGACCAACTTCCTACCAGCATGTCTCCTCGTCGCCTTTTGCCTCTTCGGCGTCTGGCTGTTCGCCAAGTCAGGACATCCGCCACCAACGGTACGAGATCGCATCGCTCCCCAATGAGAGAAGTAACGAATTTAGCAGGCGTCAACAAGTCAGTTCTTCAGTCTGTGTTTTAATCTCGCACCTTAACCATTGCCAGGCCACTGAAGTGATTATTGAAACCTCTCGCGTGGGAACCGACGGGCAGGTTGTCGTCGTGGAGGACAGCGTCGACATCACCGAGACCCCCGACTCCGATGTTGGGGGACCAAAAGTGAGCATTGCCATCTGTCGTCATTTATCCTGTCGTCATCTGACCAATTTCAGGCACTCAGTATATAACTATCCCTGCTTTACCTGCAGGCCGTCTTCTTGCAGCCGGATTCATCCGCTGGGGATGTAGAAAGCTTCCAATCTGCGGAATCCGCATCGATAGGTGGCCTATCCAAATCGCCCAAGGACTCTGATTCCACGGAGGAGGTAACCCCTCAACACTGTTCCCTTTTTATTGTTTGTTTGATTACACATAGTCAACCGTCGCTCCCTTGCAACCCACAATTGACGTTCTGATCTGTTGGCCGAACGGCAGGAGCCGGATTTGGCGTTTGAGTACTCGCTGTGCGCCGACAAGGGCGTCGACTTCATCCCGTGCCTCGACAACGAGAAGGCCATCGCGGCGCTCAAGTCGCGGTCGCACTACGAGCACCGCGAGCGCCACTGCCCCACGGGCGACGACACCTTGCAGTGCCTGCTGCCTCTGCCCAGCGGCTACAAGCCCCACATCAACTGGCCCGAGTCCCGTGATCAGGTATTGCATTACTTGACCACGGTAAACCTTCTCAGTATATTTTTGTCGAAAATTTAACTGTCTAACAACGGTTCCCGATGCTGGTGCAGATCTGGTACGACAACGTGCCGCACCCGAAGCTGGCGTCGTACAAGGCGGACCAGAACTGGGTGAAGCCCGAGGGCGACAAGTTCATCTTCCCGGGCGGCGGCACGCAGTTCAAGTACGGCGCCACCAAGTACATCGAGTGGCTGCAGGAGGCCGTGCCCTTCCTCAGCTGGGAAGCGCAAGCACATCCGCACGGCGCTCGACATGGGGTGCGGCGTCGCGAGCTTCGCGGCGTACCTGGAGCCGTTCAGCACGCGCGTGATGTCCGTGGCGCCCAAGGACGAGCACGACGCGCAGATCCAGTTCGCGCTCGAGCGCGGCGTGTCGGCCATGATTGGTGTGATGGGCACGCAGCGCCAGCCGTACCCGTCGAACGTGTTCGACATCGTGCACTGCGCGCGCTGCCGCGTGCCGTGGCACCGCGAGGGCGGCAAGCTGCTGCTGGAGCTCAACCGCCTCATCCGCCCCGGCGGCTACTTCGTGTGGTCCGCCACGCCCGTGTGCCCCAAGTGCAAGGCCAAGGAGCCCGACGACAAGGAGATCTGGGAGGGTAAGCAAACGGCTGCTCTCTCGCGATCGCCTAGGTTTTCGGACGAATATCACATTAGCTGCTGGGAAAGCGATGAATGCGATGTGTGAGTTGAACAGGCTCTTCATTGCCCCTCCTCTGGCTTGCAATCCTCCCCTGTGCGCGCAGCGATGTCGGAGCTGACGGCGAACATGTGCTGGCGCAAGGCGGCGAAGGAGATCAACATGGCGTTCGGCGTGGGCGTGATGGTGTGGCAGAAGCCCACCGACAACGACTGCTACGACAGCCGCGCCGAGGGCACCCAGCCGCCTATGTGCCCCGAGGAGGACAACGCCGACGCCGCGTGGTAAGCGCGCGTGTTGCCACTCGTTCGACCCCTTATTGCATGTGCATCCAGCACCTCGTATGCTCCTGATGCTTGGCCCTCCGCCTCTTCGCTTGTCGATTGCCCCTCTCCTTGCACCCCGCTTTTTCGTGGCTCTCCAGTCATGGTGGCGTGCGAAGGCTGTCGTGCGAATTCATTAACCCAACCCCCCCTTACTCCTTGTCATCCGACGCAGGTATGTGCCGATCCAAGCGTGCATGCACCGCGTCCCCACAAAGGAAAAGACACGTGGCGTCGGGTGGCCAGTGGAGGGCAAGGACCGTTTGAGCGTGGTGCCGGCGTGGCTGGAGGGCGTGCAGAAGGGCATCTACGGGCGGCGCGCGGCGGTCGAGTTCGACGCGGACAAGGCGCACTGGCTGCGCGCGTACCGCACGTACCTCACGGAGATGGAGATCGAGTGGGCCTCCGTGCGCAACGTGATGGACATGGACGCGCACTACGGCGGGTACGTGCCACGCCTGTCGCCTAGCGAGGAAGGGCGGGAGAATGAAGGAAAAGCACAAGACATAGAGCACTGAAAGCACGTTTGTTTCGAGGACAGGAGCCTCCGGGATGTCACTGTCCCATTGTGACGCATCTGAACGTCCCTCGTCTGTTCCTCTCCACTCGCCGCGTCGCCAACAGGTTCGGCGCGGCGCTGGAAGCATCAGCAAAGCCCGTGTGGACGATGAACGTGGTGCCGGTGACGAGCCCCGACACGCTGCCCATCATCTTCGACCGCGGGCTGCTGGGCGTGTACCACGACTGGTGCGAGTCGTTCAACACCTACCCGCGCACCTACGACATGCTGCACGCCGACCGCCTCCTCGGCGCCTTCGCCACCAGCTCCAAGTAAGCCCTCGCTCGCTCGCTCTACAGCCACCCTCCCCGCAACCCCTCCTTCCCTCCCTTAGCACCCTCCATTGCCTTGTTCTTTGCGCCCCTTGCTCATGCTCCCTAGCTTTTGTATTTCCTCGCTCCATACCGCCCCGCTTCTACTCTCTTTTGAATCTCTGGATTTTCCTTGCCAGTGGTTCTTCCCTTCTCCCCCTCTTCTTGTGATTCACCTCACTCACCCACGTGTGTCATGCATGTGTCGCTGGCTGGCAGGTGCGGAGTGGCGGACGTGATGTTGGAGATGGACCGCATCCTGCGCCCGCTGGGCTACGTCATCGTGCGCGAGGTGGATGCCTCGCACGTGCGCCTCATCCAGGCCGTGGCGCGCGGCATGCACTGGGACGCCGTCTCCAGCATTCAGAAGCACAACGAGACGCTGCTCACCTTCCGCAAAACCATGTGGCGGCCAGATCCCGTGGCCGACTCGACAAAGAACGAGGAGTGATGGGGAGTGAGGGAATGGACTTGGGGGTTGTACCCGTGGGTCTAGCCCTTCCAAATGCTATACTAGGTATTGTCTTCAGGCCTGCCATTCTGCTTTCCTTAGGCAAATTAGGGGTATTCTTTCCTGACATTGTAGGTACCAATCATATAAAATTTAAGTATTACCCGTGATCTCCCGGTTTGAAGACCCCCCCGCATACAAGTCCCACGGGTCTTTTATCCAGACCAGGGGTTTTATTGTGACATTCCTGGAGGGGAGCCGTCATTTGCCATAAATCAATATAAAACCCCCATTTTTCTCCTATTTACGCGTGTGTGTGTGTCTGTGTGTGTGTGTGTGTCTATGTGTGTGTGTGTGTGTGCTTTTTTTTTTTTTGTTACATATACGTTCTCGATGTCAAAATGAGAAATGGATGATGCATTGATGTTGGTTGGGGTACATATAGCTAACCCTAAGTTTTGTACCCCCTAAGACAAACCTCACTATAGGCTACAACATTTGACACACCCCCATAGCCTAAGTGAGGGGTGTCTAGCAGAACCAAACGAGTACGGTCACAAGACCAGTCCAAGAAACGAAGCTCAGGGTGGATCACAACGTCACCACACAGTCTGAGCACAAACAACAGTGGCCACAAGGCCAGTCCAAGAAGTAACAGAGATATATAGAAAGCAAAGTAAACAGTACACTCAAGTCTAAGCAACACGAGAACCAGTGTCAACAAGGCCTAACTGCACACAGCACCTCTGGTGGTCACAAGGCGGAAGCGCCTTGGTGAAGATGTCTGCAGTGTTGGCCTCGGACTCCACAAACTCAAAGCGAGCCTGTCCACGCCTCTGCAACTCTCACAGAAGAAAGTACCTGACGTGAATGTGCTTCACTCTGCTCTCCAGTCGTGGCTCTCGACAAAGGAGAATAGACGCCTTGTTGTCAGTGAACAAGGTCGGTGCAGAGCTCGGCCGCTCACCAAGGTCGGTGAGCAAGAAGGTCAACCAACGCAGCTCCTGTGCCGCCATGGCACCAGCGTAGATCTCAGCCTCAGCTGTAGAGGTCGAGACCGAAGAGGAGCGCGTGGACCGCCAGGAAACAGCTCCAGAACCCAGGCTGAAACAGTACCCCTGAGTAGACCTGTGAGTCTCAGCGTCGTCAGCGTAAGAGGAGTCACAGTGACCAGTAAGTACGACAGACTGCTGCCCTCCAAGAACTAGCCCCACGCCTGACGTCGTCGCTAGGTACTTCGCCACCCTCACAGCTGCTGTCCAGTGAACAGGACGGTGTCTCCCTGGCGCAACAAAGCGCGCAAGAACGCTGAGAGGGAAGGCGAGGTCCGGGCGAGTACAAGTCATCAGGTACATGAGGCAACCCACAAGCTCTGCGTAGGGACCACTAGGCTCGAACGGCTCGTCAGGAAAGGGTCCAGTGAGTCTGTGGTCAACAGCAAGAGGTGTGCGCTGTACTGTGGAGTGCTGAAGCCCGAACCGCTGAAGGACCTGCTGCACCATGTGCGACTGTGAAAGTGTAATGGTGCGAGCAGCTCTGTCCCTGGTGATCTGCAGGCCAAGGTAGTGGCGCAGCTCACCAAGATCAGTGCAGGTGTGTCTCTTCTGCAGTTCGGACTTCACGTGTGCCAAAGCAACCCTGTCAGGGGTGGCGAAAACAAGGTCGTCAACGTAGACCAGAACAAAGAAAGGTGTGGTGCCACGACGAACGAACAGCGACGGGTCAGCAGAAGACGGCTGGAACCCAAGGTCAGACAGGGTAGAACGCAGGGTGTCGTGCCACTCACGAGGAGCCTGACGAAGACCGTAAACCGGTCGCCTCAGCCTCCACTGGGTCCCAGGAGGGAAAGAGCCAGTGAAGGCAGAACACGACGCAACCAGACCTCCTCGTGAAGACTGCCCTGAAGGAAAGCAGTAGAGAAGTCGAGAGAGTGTAACTCGTAGTCTCTCTGTGCTGCTACGTGTAGTAACACCCGAAGAGTGGTCATCTTCGGGGTGGGCGCGAAGGTCTGAAAGAAGTCAACTCCCTCGCGCTGACTGAAGCCTCTAGCCACGTAGCGCGCCTTGAAGACCGGAGGAGATCCCGGTGGCCGCTTCACCCTGTAGATCCACATGCCGTCGACTACGTTCGCCCCCGGAGGGGGAACCTCATCGACGTAGGTGCCTGTGGATCTGTAGGAGGCCATCTCTGCGTCCATGGCAGCTCTCCACTGAGAGGCCCAAGGCCCTGACACTGCCTCAGCGTAAGTGCGAGGAGTCGGAATGTCAAGGGCGTCGGGGTCACCCTCAGGGGCGAGGAGCATGGCACAGAGATGAGGGGAAGCGGCCGCCAGGAACTCTAGCTCAAACTGCCTATCCTCTAGGGCGTCACAGCCAAGGGCAGACACACCCCCGACGGCCAGAGGACTGGAAGGAGGAGCAGCCACAAGAGCGGTGGCGAAGTCAAGGCGGCGGGTAGAGGCAAACTCAGTGACTGCGGCAGTAAGAGCGGACACAGAGGACACAGAGGCACGAGGGTGGGTAACAAGAGAGGCGAGAACACGAGAGAGAACAGGACGGTACGTGCGGTAGTAGTCAGTGACAGGAGAAGGAAGCGACACAGTGAGGGCCGACTCAGGAGGAGACGGAAGCACAGACGGAGACGGACGAGGTGGACGAGAACAAAGGAAGGCTGTACGAAGGTCAGTGAAGGGAACAGGAGACGAGGGACGAGCACGAGGGGAGCGACGAGAGGCCCAAGTCTGAGAAGGAGGAGGAGACAACGAAGACTGAGAACGAGGGAAAACAGCGGGAGAGGGGTCAGGAGGAGGAAGCGGAGGACCAGAGACAGGAGGAGAGGGGGAGGAGGAAGGAGAGGGAGACGGGAGACCAAGGGTCCGAAGACCCGAGACAGGAGGAGGAGACGGCAGCAGCTGCTGCTGCTGCTGCTGCTGCTGCTGCTGCGGCTGCTGCTGCTCCAGCGGCTGCTGCCCCTGCTGCTGCTCCTGCTGCTGCTCCTGCTGCTGTCGCTCCTGCTCCTCGAGCCGCTGCAACTCTCTCTCCTCTCTCTCCAACTCCAGCTGCTCCTCACGAGCACGGCGAACACGAGCCTGGAACCTGGTCGGATAGGGGTGGGGGGAAGGAGTAGTGTCCGGGGCAGCGGCAGCCCCAGAGTCGACCTCCGAAGCACCAAGCACACCACCCCCAGAGGCAGCACTAACACCAGCTCCAGACCCAGGCTCTCCAGAAACCGAAGGGACACCCTCACCCCCAGACGCAGCACCCCCAGACTCCGCACCAGCACCCCCAGACTCCGCACGACCAGTACCAGCCCCCGGAAGACAAGAGTCCTCTGCAACCCGCGGCTCAGCTCCAACTCCAGCACCCCCAGAACCAGAGACCTGTACAGGGACAGTCGCAGGACCAACCTCCCGAGAGGGAGCACCTGCAGGAGGCGGCGAGGAAGACTGTGGGGAGGGAGGCTGTACAGGGGGGGCTACCGAAGGGGGAGGGCTAGCCTGAGACACACCAGACGGGGCTGGACCAGGGGGGGGAGGCTGTACCGGGGGAGCAGGCGGGGGAGCGGCGGTCAGGAAGAGAGGGGGGGGAGGGACCGGGAGACCTCGACTGGGGTACCTGACGTAGTAGGGGGTGGACTCCTCGAAACGGACGTCACGGGAGTCAAAGAACCGGTGAGAGGGAGGGTGGTAAAAGGTGAAGTCAGAGGAGTCCTCAGGGAAACCAAGGAAGACACAAGGAACGGCGCGAGGCGAGAGCTTGTCCGCTGAGGTGTCGCGGACAAGAGCCAAGCACCCCCAGACACGAAACCTCGACGCGACACCAGGGGACCCTGTCCAAAGACTGGTCGGTGAAGCCTCCGGCCGAGAGACGCGTGGCCAGAGGTTCAGCTGGTGCGCGGCGTACCTGACCGCGTATGGCCACAGGAAATGGGGGGCACGGGCGTGAGTCAAGGAGGTGCGGGCAATCTCCATGACCAGGCCTATGCGACGCTCAGCAACCCCATTCTGCTGTGGGGACTCCGGAAGCGTCCAGGACTGACGAATGCCCTGTTCGCGACAGAATCCAGCGAGAATGCCGGAGCGAAACTCGCCCCCGCGGTCGGAGTGGAGACAGCTGACACGACGACCACGAGTGTCCTGGGTGGTAAGCAACCACCTGATCAGCGTAGAAGTCACCTCAGACTTCCTCGCCAGGGGGAACACTATGGTGTAGCGGGAGTAGTCGTCAACGACCACCAAAAAGAAACGCTCACGCTCAGGGCCAGGGCGAGGAGAGGGGCCCCAGACGTCCAAGTGCAGCGTCTCAAAAGGCTCGGTGGCCGGACGAAGGGAGGAGGAGTGAGGGGTGGCGCGCAGCCTACCCTCGACGCAAGGACCGCACGGTGGCGCAAGGGACGGCGGCAGCGACGGCAAGACACGCGGGAGACCTAAGACAAGACGCTGACGAGACATAGCGCGAAGACGAGGAGGAGAAGGGTGCCCCAGCCGGTGGTGCCACAAAACGGTGGGGTGGGCAAGCGACCGACAGGAGCACGACGCAGCGACCGGACTAGACGGAGGAACCTGACAAGACACAGCTACCTGGGGGGACGGAGCAACCTGGTGAGACGCGAGGACTCGAACGGGGGGCAAAACAGGGGCCGGGGGCAGGAGGGGCGGCTGTGGCTGCGGCTGCTGCTGCTGCTGCGGCTGCTGCTGCTGCTGCAGTCGCTGCTGAGCGCGCGGGCCAGTGTGAAGAGTGTAGAGACCGGAGCCCGGCTCAGCAGCAAAAGTGGCGAGGGGCTGGTAAGAGTCCCCGTCAACACACACCGCAGTCTCTCCAGAAGGCTCAAACCACACACCCACGTGCTGACTCACGAGGGGTCGCACGCCCACCAAGTTCCGGGAGAACGAGGGGACGTGAAACCCAGTGAGAGACCCAGAAGGAGCAGCAGGACACGGCAAGGTGGTAGTGTGACGCGCGGTGACTGGTCCCGAAGTGGGATCAGCCAGCGCCACAGAA